CAGGGGGGAATCGTGCACACGCAGGAGAGAAGTTGTGCGCGAAAGAAGCAGAGCCCCACCCAGCAGGGCTGAAAACAATAGGGTGCTTTGCTGTCATCTGAGTTACATTTGCCATTGCATTTAAACCCAAACATGCCTTAACTGTGTTTTAGGGCAGGGGTTCACATTAATGGGATCTGCATTGTTTTATACTGCAGCCATGAGATCTACCAATGCAAGAAGCAGACTTCAAGATTCTGAGATTATTAATTTGCTTTGAGTTCTAGAATTGAACACTTCAAGACATATATATTTTGCTAGTGACCTAACGTTTTCTGCATTTCAGCAGTCTAATTTAGGGCAAGTGGCAGAACCAATCTGTTGCTTCTGCTGTAAAACAATTGAGAAATAAAAAATCCTGGTGGAACTACTATAAGTTACCCAGAGATCTACTAGATCTGTGAAGAGCTTCTTCCTTTCTCTCTGATTTCAGGCAGTAAGCCAGAAACAGAAGCCATGGTTTGACTATGACTTGCCTGTGTTCAGACATAACAATAAACTTTCACTAGTTCTTTTAGTTTGTGCCAGAGGAAGAGAGGGAAAGTACCCTTCATGGATTGCTGTCTTGTCATAGCGAAGGGGCTTGAGGAATTCAGAGAAGCTATAAGCTATGCCGTGCAGGGACACCCAAGATGGACAGGTCATAGTGGAGAGTTCTGACTAAACATGATCCACCTGGAGCAGGAACTGGCAAGCCATTCCAGTATCTTTTCCAAGAAAACTCCATGGACAGAAACAAAACGCTAGAAAATATGATGCTGGAAGATGTGTCCCTCAGGTCAGAAGGCGTCCAACGTGCTACTGAGGAAGAGCGGAGGACAAGGACAGGTAGCTCCAGATCTAATGAAGTGGTTGGGCCAAAGCCAGAAGGACACTAAGCTGTGGACATGCCTGGAAGTGAAAGGAAAGTCCGATGCTGCAAAGAAAAATACTGCATAGGAACCTGGAATGTAAGATCTATGAACTTTGGTAAGCTGGATGTGGTCAAACAGGAGATGGCAAGAATAAACATTGACATCCTGGGCGTCAGTGAACTAAAACGGATGGGAATGGGCAAATTCAATTCAGATGATTATCATATTGATTACAGTGGTGCCTCGCTTTACGAGCGTTCCATTTGACGACGAAATAGCTTGACGTTGAAGATTTTGCAATCGCAAAAGCGATTGCAAAACGGTGTTCCCTATGGGGGAATTTCGCTTGGCGATGATTGGTTCCCTGCTTCGGTAACCGATCATCGCAAAGCGATGATTTTCGCACAGCTGATCTGTGGTTTGAAAATGGCCGCCGGGTAAAAACATGGCTGCCCCTGTTTTCTGGGAAGGATTCCTCACTGCACAGGCAGCGAAAATGGCTGCGCTATGGAGGATCTTCGCTGGACAGTGAGTTTAAAGCCCATAGGAACACATTAATTAGGTTTTAATGCGTTTCTATGGGTTTTTTAATATCGCATTGCGACATTTTCGTTCGACAGCGATTTTGCTGGAACAAATTAACGTCGTCATGCGAGGCACCACTGTATTGCGGGCAAGAATTCTGTAGAAGAGTAACCCTCACAGTCAACAAAAGAGTGGGAAAAGCTGTACTGGGATACAATCTCAAAAATGATAGAATGATTTCAATACGAATCCAAGGCAGACCTTTCAACATCACAGTAATCCAAATCCCTTACGCAAATTGTGCACCAACCACCGATGCACCAGCCACCGATGCTGAACAGACTGGCTGAAAGTCTGTTGCTTGGCATAGAAAGTTGCCTTAGAATAGGTCTAATAAATCTGTGGGGACTTGGTGAATCAACTCCTCTAAGTTCAACTGAGTCAAGATCCTACATTAACTAGAGCTGTTGTTGTTTAGTCGTTAGTCCTGTCTGACTCTTTGTGACCCCATAGACCAGAGCATACCAGGCCCTCCTGTCTTCCACTGCCTCCCGGAGTTGGGTCAACTTCATGTTGGTAGCTTCGATGACACTGTCCAGCCATCTCGTCCTCTGTCGTCCCCTTCTCCTCCTGCCTTCACACTTTCCCAACATCAGCATCTTTTCCAGGGAGTCTTCTCTTCTCATGAGATGGAGCCTCAGCTTCAGGATCTGTCCTTCCAGTGAGCACTCAGGGTTGATTTCCTTTAGAATGTATAGGTTTGTTTTCCTTGCAGTCCAGATGACTCTCAAGAGCCTCCTCCAGCACCACAATTCAAAAGCGTCGAGTCTTCGGCAGTCAGCTTTCTTTATGGTCCAGCTCTCACTTCCATACATCACTACAGGAAAAACCATAGCTTTGACTATGCGGACTTTTGTTGGCAACGTGATGTCTCTGCTTTTTAAGATGCTGTCGAGGTTTGTCATCGTTTTACATTAACTAGAGTAGGCCCATTTGAATCATTGGAATGTAAAGAGGGGTTGACCAGTAAACTCCTCACTGATTCAGTGGGGCTACTCAACTGCAATTTACTAAACTAAGCCAAAGGATTTCAGTCAGTAATTGCAGTTCAACTCCAGTTTGGGGAGCTAAGAACAGAAACCTCATATGCAGTTTTTTTAATTTTAGCAATTATGTGTAGAATAGGGCTGTCTATAATATAGGTAAAGAGGAGGTATAACAGAGATGAAACAGCTGAAATGCAATGAAAGACAACAGAATGAGAAGAGATAGTGACATAAATAAAATGTGCTCCTTCTTAAGAACCTTCTCTTTTAAAAACAACAATAAAACCCAACCCACATTCTGCTTTGAGAGGAGCTGGCTGTGTGTCGAAAGGGCTCTTCCACAATAAATTACTGTTTGTCATTTTTTTTCCAAAGCCTTGTTCCTGGCAAGTAGTGACAGAACAGAGTTGAAGGGCCTCTTCTTGACCAGCTCCTTGACCCGTGGCTTACATGCTTTGTTGCTCTTAACTGCTTTTCTTTGGTGCCAATTTGATTTCTGTTTCAGGCTTTCCATTTTGAGTCTCATGCTCCACCCACCCCCCCTTACGCAAAACTTGCTGGCCAAGAAGATTACTTGCTTCTGAAAAGTCATATTACATCTCTGGATTACAGGCTTTCTAAATGCAACTCAATATCTGTGTTTCCAAACTGTAAAATAGCCTTACTTTAAAATCTGTTCTGAAACTGTATATGTGATTGTTCACTTTTTAACAAAGGTATATTTTTGTCTAGCTGATAATTCTGCATTGCACTACAATTTATGTTCAGTAACATTTTAAAAGCAGAGTGAACTTCAGCACTGTCAGCATTTAGAACATGAGCAAAAGGGTTAAGTCACGAAACTAGGCTTTTTGTCATGTTAGAATGAAAAGTACAGTACATTTTAGGGATATCATAGCATATGGTACAGAGATTTTTTCAAACTAGGTTCCATTCAGTGAAAAATTTAACAGAGAGAAGAAGAAAATGCTTTGGGTTTAAAGCAGGAAGCTACAGGTATATAGGTATGCTTCCCCGAAACAAGGGAATTCAGACCACAAATCAACATCCCAACACAGGGTGGCTAGTGAAGTTACTGTTGTAGGAGAGCAAGAAAATTGGAAGTAGAGGGGATGGGGTTATTGTGTTCCCTTCTACAAGGAGTAAGAGAATTTGCTTTAATAATGACAGAACAAAGCTAAAGGATCTGCAAAAGGTGTTGTTAGTATGACAGACTTCTCCACCCTGCTTCCTCCAGATATATTGGATGACAATTCTTATCATCTCTATCCAACATAGTCCTGCTGGCTGATGAGGTATATGATGGCAATTACTGTATAGGTCAGCTCATCTAGAAGGCACCCTAGTACAGAAGTGCAGATGGACACAAGAATGTGATAATGATAGTAATAATAATAATACCAGACCTGCAGAGCTGAAAGGGATCCTATAGATCAGTGGTCCCCAAACTTGGGTCTCCAGATGTTCTTGGACTACAACTCTCAGAAGCCTTCACCACCACCTCTGCTGGCCAGGTTTTTGGGGAGTTGACGTGCAAGAACATCTGGAGGCCCAAGGTTGGGGACCACTGCTTTAGATAATTGAGCCTAGCCCCTGTCAGGGAGGCATTGTGGGGAAGTGAAATCATCACCCCCAGCCTCTTGCTCCAAAGCCAGAGACTTAAATCACTGAGCTATCCAGTACTTGGGTGTTGTTCCATAACTAATTCTGTATGTTCAATGTTTTCAAAGTTGTCTATATTTTCTTTATTTTAGACTTTAGTGATATTAAACTTAGACCTATAATGTATCCTTGAATTATATAAATATGGAGTTTAAAGGGAAATCAACTCACTAATAAATCAGAACATCACAGTCGAAGTAGGCAGTCAACAGCTAAAACATTTGCATTTTGGTTTTTTTGATTGGCCAAATGATAAAATCAACACAGAGTGAACTGTGTTGAGATTCCCACTGCCTTATAAAACTAACCTGGGAGACTTTGGGCAAGTCATGTCATCTCAAACTGATCTAAGATGGCTGGGAGTTTTTAAGAGGAGAAATACATATGAGCCTTTTTCCAGTACTTGGAACGTTAGGACTAGGAGAGCAAGGTTGTAGGCTAGCTTTTCCTCCACTTTTATAGTCTTCTGTGGCCAAGACTGTGTTGTTTAATGTAATGAATTGCACTAGAGAAGGCCCATTGAATCAGTGGGGATTTGGTGAGTCAACTCTCTGCATGTTCCATGATTCCAATGGTCCTACTTTAACTGTGACTTAGCACATTTGAATCAACACAACTTACAGAAGAGTTGGCTCAACAAGTTCTCTTTGATTTAGTATACCTATTATAGTGCAGTTTACTATGCCAGGCATCAGACATTTGGCCAATATGTGTGTTGCCCTTTTTCTAATGGTGGAGGATGCAATGATGGATGTCCCAACCATCATTACTGTGGCATCTACAACTGATAGCTTAGGGACAGTTTTACCATTCATTTGCTTTGCTTATGTGTAGATCACACTCCACTGAAGTTACAGAAGTCTAAATTGGCCTTTGAGAAGAACTGGCAGACCGCCTGTCCACTCTTGTATAGAAATTTAGATGAAGAACTGCAAGAGAAGAACATAAACATCCAAATAAGCCAAGTATCCTTAATTTTCATGTTGTTGTATTTTCCTCCCCTATAGTTCTTTATTCAGACTGATTTCCAATATAAAATAACAAAACGAAAAAGGAACACCCCTTGTGCTCTAATTGGAAGGTAGTTAAATGACGGACATACTTGCTTAATGGAAAGTCTTCCTTATTCATAGTAATAATTAGATTAAGTCAAATTAAACAGTGTTTACATGGTGCAACAGAATTCTACAAAGGTTATATGAAGACAGAAGGCAAACATTGTAAACAAATTGTAGAGGTGAATGATAATAATTGTAAACAAAATATTGTGAAATCATACTTGGGCACACCCTGCATTTAGTAGAAAAGCAGGTGGGGACCCTTTGAATTTTATATCTTTACCTGCACTTGGATTTGGTTATGTTGGTAGCTGGATCTGTGTCTCATAGTTTGTCATCAGAGATCTGACACTACACTCAGTGGGGATTCCAGTTGCATTTCTTGGCTCTAAGCACAGCATCTAAAAGGACCGGTCCCTTATGTTTGTTTGCAAAGTACTGTGCGTTGTTGGCTGCATTTGGACAATCACATCAAAGCCAAGATATTTGATAGCTTCATGTACCTGCATGCAGCCACTTTTCCCCTTTCTTTTTTGAGAGCATTGAACAAGTAAGCCAGGAAACCAAAGTAAGTACAGCTTCCCATTAACATGCAAGTTAGCAACCACAGCTTTCTATTATATCCGAAACTGTAATAGAGTTTGACTGCCAAGGGGGGCATGATAGGAAAGCCAACTAAAACCCATTTGGAAACCATTAACCATAATTTAGTTGTTTGGATGTAGTGGAAAGCTATAGCTAATTACCATTTCCTGGCTTTATTTGCTGCTCCTGCAAAGGGTGAAAGCAAAGCAAAGTGCTTGCATGCAGGTGCCAGGGGTTCATGCAGGTCTTAAGCCGAGATTTGATAATCTAAACCAAATTCAGTATATCAGAACCAGAAGATCAAGAGTGGCACTTGAAAGAGGTGCCATCTCATGTATTCTTTAAAATAATTTATCTAATAATAGTACAAGTTACTATACTCTATTTGAATCAAGGATAATAAAAAGAAGGAATAATTTTCTTTGTTAACTACAGGATGTACATATGCATTATTTTATGTGTGTTCATGCACAGTTCTGTGTGCTTTTCGTGAAAAAGTGAAATATATTTTGTTATTTACCCTAAAAGATTAATAGCCTTGTCAGGTGTTTCAGTGTGATGTAATAGAATAAATATTTACAGTGTAAACTATCTTGGATGAATGTGTTCTTTAAATGATTACCCAAGATATTATAGTCTAGGCACACTGTGCACATCTCAGAGTTGAGTAATGTGTTGATTTCTACATTAACCATGGCTTCTGTATTGATGACAATTCTCTTTGGACTTTTGAAGGTGTTGTTGAACTGTACTGAATGAGTTAGTCTCCGTAATTCCAGATCTCTTAAACTAGAAGAAGATAGCCTATTACCTTCCAGATGTTTGGAATCATGGCTCCTACAATTCCTGCAATGGCAATGTCTGCGAATTTTAAAGTGTGTTACCAAATGGCCTAATTTAACACACTTGGAATGGGAATGGAGTTACCTTAGTAGATAAAGAATGTATTGTTGCACATACCACTGTTTAGCAAGTATGTTATCTTCCTGTTACTTCAAATTTGCAACTGCATATTACATCATTTCAGTCTCTTGATTTCTGACAGACGAGCTAGCTTTTTGATGTGCATGTGGATCATTCCACAAAAATGCATGTAATGGAAGCCATTTTTGAATTTGCAGAAATGCTGCCTGACTAAAGACATCTTGAAAAGGTTTGATTTAAACAAATAACATTTAAATCCCTTCATTCCAACTCCTAATCAGTATAAAACACAATAAAATTGTGTTATATAAATAGTTGATACTATGGCTAGAATCTTGAGCTTGCTTGCAGTACTTGTACCCTTGTAAATGTAACCTGCAGCGACTGCTTTGTAAGTTCTGTTGGATCTACTCTTTTTGTGACTTACTGTACTAAGGAACAGGATTTCAGCTAGGGGGGTTCCCCTCTGGCTTTGTGTTTACCCTTCTGCTAAGGAAAATATGTGAGTGATAGCATGCTGGCTTTTTGTTTTTGTTTTTCCCTGTGAGGGTAAAGGCAAAACGCCAAAAGTAAACAGTGAGTGCTACTATGCTAGCCATTTTCTCTATTATACATTCTCATATTTATATTGAAATTCCAGGTGACATGGTACAGTGTCAGTGAATTCCAATTTGATCCCATTGTTGTCATATCCCTTTCCTGGTGCTTCTTTCTCCCCAGTTGTTTTCATTACAAACATAATTCCTAAGCATTGGTTTTGTCTCTATTGCCATCTCTCCTCTCTGCTTTGCCTTGGTTTTTTTGATTTTTTTAGTCAAACTGATAGGGTCTGCGGGGAAATCCCTGTCAATTTCACTTGCCTGGTCCAGCTTTTTAAAAAAGCTTTGAGATATTTCTATATGCCTCAGTGATTATATACATCTGTGATCATACTATTCTTTTTTAAAAGAAAAAACATCTAAAATGAGCTAGTCCATTGTTCTAATAAAAATATTGTGGTCTTTAACTATTAAGTTCATTGCTTTTGCTGAAACTTAATAGTTATGATGCAATAGATGGAAGTGGCAGCCTCCCTGAAAATTTTTGGTACCTACACCCCTCAAAACAGCAGTGGTGTTAAAAAAAGGGGGGGAGGGGGCTGGCAAGGACTTCTGGGAATAGAACCTAATTCTGTTATGTCTGTCTAACTCCTAGTACACAAATACAGCCAATTCACCAGGGACAGTCTCGGTTTCTCAGATTTGTGCTATGCCCATGGGAGATAGCCTTTGGGTCTTTCCTCCCTGAGCTTTACGTTCAATCTTACTATCAGCTGGGCATAGAAATGTGTGTTGGCACATTTGTACAAGTTTTTGTAAGGAGAGGGATGGGCAGAATCTGGGAACAAGACTTTGGGGCTTAGCTGTATCATGTACTTAAAGCCAGAGAGTGGAGTAAAATTAGGCAGTTGCTGCTTTTGAAGTGTGGATGGAAACATAGCAGCCTTGCACATCCAAAACAGGGACTCACTTGCTATCTATGTTGTGACCGTATTGCTTGTGTCATGGGGAAAGTTGCTTCTTTATCTTTGCCTTCTTTCCCTGTGCTATGGTGGTTAAACTGCATTACTGCAGCTAAAACTCTGCTCATGCCCTGAGTTCAATCCCAGGTAGTTGGCTTGAGGTTTGCTCAGACTTCTATCCTTCTGAGGTTGGAAATTGACTACCCAGCTTACATGGGGGGTAGGGGGATATGTAGCCTGCATAATTAAATAGTTAACTGCCCAAATAGTGTTTTAAACAATATGGGGCTGTATATAAGTAGCACACTCCCCCCTTCATATCTCAGAATGTGACCTCTAATTTCCCCCTATGTATCTCTTTCCCCTTCTGTAGGTTAAGACACACAGGCATGACACTCTGTTTTAGATATTTCAGTGCCAGTTCACTGCTTGCTGATGTTGTCTAGGTCTAAGAGGTACCTCCCAAAAAGTTAGACATATGGAAAGTAGTTGTGTCTGTTGTTTTATGTATTGTGAAATACAAGAATGGAAGTATTTTTCTCTTGATGTAGAGAAGTAATATCTAAAAACCAGCCTGAGAGAGGCAAAAGAAAGGTTTCTTATAAGAGAATTTTCATCAGGTTGAATTTTGAGGTTCAGCCTTTCTGACAATAGAGCACAGAGTCAGCACCCATTCTGGGCATGTAGTAGTAATAAATCAAGTAATTACTAATAAAGGCATTTCGCCTGCACAGTGTTGGTGTTTGTATCTATTGAAATCAAATGGAGTTCTAGACTGTTGTCTTGGGCAGTTCTTATATGTGCAGCAATAGGCTTATGCCTTTGAACCCACCTTATGTAAATGAGTGCACAGGAAAAAACTGTGAAAACTGCAAGCACAGGTGCTGAGCAACATGCTTCCCTTAGCATTCTGCCCATTGTCAGTAAAACTAGTTCTTGGTTCCTGAATAATTTTTTTGATTAGCTGTGTCATCAAAGAAAAAAAATCTTATGTTCTGTACTTGAATTGCAAAATCTCTAGGAACTTGGCAAGAAAGACTGGAAATAAAAACAAGGTGAGAAGTTACCCTACATACCACTAAATGGCGGATCTGCTCACTCTATAGTAGGGCATGGAGGACAGCCTTGTAGTTCTGCCCCAGGCCTGTAATTCTGTCATTCAAAATACCTCTCCACCTACTGTATGAACTGCAAATGTATGCACCAGTTAGAGAAGTCTATCATCTAAGGACTCAAGATCATATGTCTTGAATTAATCTAAATGAGTGGTTCCCAGTGAGTGATGTTCTTGGGCTGCAGCTCCCAGAGACCTTGGCTAGCGCAGCTGGTGCTGAAGACTTCTGGTAGTTTAACACTTGGATTACCCATGATTGGGACCCACTGATCTAGATTACCTCCTCATAGCTGCTTTTGTGTGTGTGTGTGTGAAAAATATTATGATTATTATTATAATTGCATGTCATCACATTGATTTTGACTTAGGGTGACCCTTCTCAAGGTTTTATAGGTAAAAAAGGTTTCAAGAGTGGTTTACCTGTCCTTTCTTGTGGAGGAGGGTGGTGGCGGGATGCCCTGGTACTTTCTAGAGCACACAGGCTTGCTCTAGAAAGTACTGTAGGCAAGATAGGGAATCAAACTCCTGATTTTCCTCTCAATAGCCAGGTGCTTCAAAGCAATGAGCTATCCAGCCAGTAGTGACAAAAATATATACCTACTTGGTATATTCTCTTATGTTTATATGAATTCATTTTACATTAATCTAGGAAAGGTTGTCATTGCTCACTGATCTTGAACTAAGCCCAATGTTCTTATGAGTTATATTTTTGGTTTACATGTGTGGCGGAATGCCCAAGTCACACCTGTCTGTCATATGGAGCTCTAAGAGAGGAGCCTATGGCAGGACAGGAGGGGCAGAGTAAAAAAAAACTGTTGGAAACTGAGGAGAGTTAGAGAAGAGTTTTGAAGTGTTAAGACAGAGATTGGAAAGTTGGTGCATGTTAAAGAATAGATAAGAGATAAAAATAATAGAAAATAGAGAGACAGTCATAAGATATTGTTACAGTGGTTAATGTGAATGAATACAAACAAGCAAATGTGTAATCCTATCCAAGTTCAATGATTGAACAATAAAAGAACACCTATGACTTTACTTCTGTGATTTACCAATCAAACAATAAATAAACCAGTTATATTTGGCAGCCCGGGTCTAAGAAACATATTTGGTACAGAGTGGATAAAGATCCACTGGTGGCAGCATGTAAAGGGAGTAAATAGTACATCGTGTCCAAAGGTGGACCTGTGGTTGAGGGAAAACAAACAGGGGACACTGGGGGAACGTGACAACATGAGAGTACTTTTTGAGTGTCTTCTCTTTAAAATGTCTCTGCTTCCTGCATATGTTTAGCATTTATTTTGGGTCTAGATTATGTGGTTTCTCAAGGAAAGTTTACATGCATTAGGTACTTTCCTAATACCTCATTCATGTATATGACATATATTTGATTATTCATGTTCCTGTATTTTGGGTTTTGGGGTCTTTGCCTATTACTTACATGTGGGATTTTTCTTCCCTGCTGAGGGACCCATGCCTCACATTGTCTGCATACACGTCCTAAGGGAGCTACCCTTGAGCTTGAATGGGAATTGCAGCTATTTCAGAATGACTGCCTGTTTTCTAGTGCCATACCATATCAGCATGTAACACTTTTGCTTAAGACTCCTATCTGTTAACTACACTAGGTTCTAGTAGTAATGTACAAATCCTTGAATAATTTAAGAAATAGAAACTTGAAAACACAATACTTTCTCTTATCATAATAACTTTTGTGGAGGCAGTACTAGTGGTTCTACATGGGATTAATATTCACTTCAAGTGCTCTAAGAGCAGAGTCATCCGTTTATGAGGAACCCTCCTGATTAGACATCAAATTGAGATAAGGTGTTTGTCAGTAGTACTTTGTTACTGTTTTAGCAGAAGATCATTCTCTCTGAACAGTTGTTTCTTGACTGATAAATGTCAGCCAATGCTGTTCTAAATTAGTAGTAAATTTTATTGCACTGTTTTGTATTAATCATTTGAATTTATTGCATAGTGCTTTAAAATCCTTGATATGGGACAGTTATATAAATAGAAATATTATATAAATAAATACTATATAAATAAATATGCCTTAATCTAGGTTTTATAGCATGTTACACACAGAGTTCTTATGAAAGGAACCATGATAAAACAATAGGTAGAATATATTTGCGAAGGGTTTCACGGCCGGGATCTAATGGTTGTTCTGGGTTTTTCGGGCTCTTTGGCCGTGTTCTGAAGGTTGTTTTTCCTAACGTTTTGCCAGTCTCTGTGGTTGGTATTTTCAGAGGACAGCATCCTGTGCTCTGGTCGAATAGGTAGAATATTTTGCGTTTAGTTCTTGGGGACTTTCAATTTGCAATGTGAATGCAAAGGAAACCAGAAGTCATGTTGTGCATTTTAATTAACATGTTATCTTTAATTGTTTGAATAATTGATACATTTCTGTAATTTCTCTTCTTTTTCAGCTTTTCTACAAACATGCCTGATGGGAAGGTCCTCCATTTTCACCCTTCAGTTCTCCATTTTGGAATGCAGTGAGTATATTTGATACTTAAAGAATAAGAGAAGAAATATGACCACAGGACAGGTTCACATCAGAAACACAAGCTTTGTTCTCAGCTATTAAGATTTGCATTTAGTGCCCGCCTTTCCTCTTCTTTGAATGCTTAGTGTCCCAAATTCCTTACTGATCCAACTCTGATTAAGCAGAAACCATGATGACATGCTCATTCATGCTTAGGACTTATGCACTCCTACTTCCCTCTTTAGGTGCTTATGCCAATCATATTTTTTTTGTTATGCTCAACTTGACTAAATCATGATTAGTTCACACTGTGATTTACCAATACAAGTTAAATTCAGCCAACAAGAATTTGACTTGATAATGTAAGGTATCATTCAAACAGATCAGTCTGACTTAGTTCTGACTAAATTCTGGTTGGTTTAAGACAGACAAATGCTGCTGCTGCTGCTAATCTTCTGGCTACATTAGAAAGAGAGGCAAGTAAGGCTCACACAGGTTTGTTAACAAGACCTATGGATCCATGTTATGTCTAGTTCAACCCACTGTTTATCTTAATGCATTGCAGAAATGCATTGCTTCAATAATGTGAATTTTATGGATTTTTAAAAAGAGATCTATAATAGGATCAATTGTTCAATTGTTTCCTATTGTTATAATTCTAATTTTGGTAAATGGGCTAGCCCACTCTGTATGTACCTATTCAAAATAGTTCATTTATTGTGTCTATAAAGGAAAGGAATAAGGAAATGTGAAATGCAAGGTAAATAAAGGAAATTAAAATCTGGGATTTTTTAAAAAAATTATGAAATACCAATTTAATTCTGGATTTTGCTAATATTGAAATAAGTTGTAGTGTTGAAAGAAGGGGAAAGAAGGCTTAGAAGATTTTTCATAGGTTTGTTCCCCGCCTCCTCATGTGCAAAATCTCATTTCAGATGTCAGAGGAGGGAAATGTGAAATCCTCCAGATGTTGCTGGACTGCATGTCCCGTGAGCCCTAAATCAGTGTAGTAATTGACAATTAATGATTGCAGTCTAGACCATCTGGAGAGTCATGCTCCTGTTGTATGTAATGTGAGATTATTTTCTTCTTTTTTTCCTTTTATTTATTTATTGCCTTTATGTGCTGCGTTTTTCCTGACAGTGAGACTAAAGGTGACTTACAAATCATTAAATTAACAAGAATGAAAAATAACATATAAACAACCATTAGAAAATTGCTGAATAGAAAAATAATTAAAATATCATATAAAACAAATTAAAATATTGAAAAATTTTAAACTTACTAATATGTATATATTAGCAGCAAATATGGGGTAACTAGCTACATTGAAATTAGATGTTAAAGACCAAAGCCCTGTTGGAATAAAAGTGCTTTCACTTGCTGCTAAAAACACAGAAGAGAAGGGGTCAGCCTAGCCTCATGGGATAGGACATTTCATAACCTAGGGATGTTTCAAGGAATAGGTGCAGCTGGTCACTAGCTTTAAATGTACAAATTGCACTCCTGGCCACTGCCAAGACCTGAGCTTCTAGGCTTGGAGGAATATTCCCAAATTTTGATCCTGGTGTTTCAGGAGGAGTGTAACCACATCCAGCCAGGTTGTATTTGTGTTCCCTGGTCTGTCTTTCAACAGGCTGAAAGTACCTCTGTATTATCTGGATTTAGTTTCAATCAGTTTGCTGTCATCCAGTCCATTACTGACAAGAGACACTAATTTAGAAAAGAAACGGCTTCCTTGGATTTCGGTGGAATGGAGATGAATTAGGTGGGTCATCTGCATAGTGGCACTGAACTCAGACTCCAGACAACCTGTCCCATTGATTTCATGTAAATATTCAATAATGTGGAGGACAAAACAGGACCCTCTGGAATACCACAGGTGAATGGCCGAAGCATCAAGTAGGAGTCTCCCAGCACCACCTTCTGAGTTTCTTGTTCCAGGAAGGACTGAAGTGCAGCAAAACAAGTCCCATCCCAGAAAGGTGATCCAGAAGGATAACATGGTCAGTGGCATCAAAAGCTGCTGAGAGGTGCAGCAGAACCAACACATCCCCCTGTCTACTTCCCAGCATAGGTCATCCACCATAATGACGAAATTGGTATCCGTCCCATAACCAGTCCATTTCATACAAGTATCCCTGGAGTTGAGAAGCTACCTTCCACCATAATGCCTTTTCCCAAAACAGACTACAGTGGGGTCTTGACTTAAGAACGGCTTGAGTTAAGAACATTTTGACTTAAGAACCACTCTCATAGGAAAATATTGACTTGACTTACATACTTAGATTTGAGTTAAGAACTGAAAAAAACCACGTGGGAGGCAGGGAAAGTGCAAAATTTGAACTTTCAGTTAACTGTTGGCCAGTGAAAAGGGTGCCTGTCTACTTCCTCACTCCTCCCAGCGTTTAGAGAGTGGATTGGGAGACAGTCTTCGGACTGCCTAGTACTGCCTGGACTGTATTTTCCCTGCCTTCCCTGAACCTTTCTTGACCTAAGAAAAAAAGAAACAAAATATCACTTCCCAGCATAGGTCATCCACCATAATGACGAAACAAAATTGGTTCCCATAACCACTCCATTTCATACAAGTATCCCTGGAGTTGAGAAGCTACCTTCCACCATAATGCCTTATCCCAAAACAGACTATTGGAGAGTGGCCAGTATTTTTTTTTTTTTTTGTTATGGTGAGATTCAGAGTAGGGATTTTCAGTGCAGGCTTTACAAATGTCTTCTTTGAGCATGCTAGCAGTCTACTTTGCTTCTTGCACACTCAGCCTGCTCCTCTCTGGCAGCTTTTGTAAGCTTGGAAGGACAAGGGATCTGCAACATATGGTGCCTTTCCTCTCTCCGAGGATTCTGTCCACATCCTCAGGTTGCGCAAATCGAAAAGTATCCCTTACAACAGAGCAAGCATGAGCCAAATTATGTGGCTCTTGTGTTTCTTTTGTGTCCTCCCACAGTTCTTTTTTTGTGGTAAGACATAGTTTGCCCTTACATCTCATATGCCAAACAGTTCTTCATACTTTCTGTCCAAACCAGAATTCCAAAATGCGTTCAGATGATGTTTCGCAATTCTGGTTTGAAGGCCAAGTGCAAACTACAGATTGCCAACATGTTTAAACTTGTTTTTATTTGTCACATGGGAATGCCATGGGGAGGCATGGAAGAAGAGGAGAATTGCCTGGAGGAAATTATTAATGTCAGCCAAACCATGGATTTGACATTGTGTCTGAACTCTATTGGAAAGTTACCTTTTGTTTAAATTGTACCCAACTGTGTTTGTATGTAGAGTAGAAAGTGTAACAAAACATTGGTTTTTACCCCCCTCGTTGTCATAATGTCCCCTTTTCTTGTTTTCCCTAGGTTGCTGGGACTGCCTAAAGCTAAAATGCTATATGCTTACAATCCCAGTAGGGATAAAGACGTTACAGTGAATTCAGTGTTTACAGCTACTAGACATTTTCATGTGTCTCCTGTTCATAGCAGGGTAAGTGCTGATGTAATTTTGGAAACTATGTTGTGGCAGAGCGCCAGGGTTTCATGCTTTCATTGGCCTGAAGCTTTAACTTAACTGGCCCCTCTTCCCTATTTTCCCTCCCACCCACTTTTTTTTTATCTTTCAAAGTATTTCTGCCAAGGCTGAGTGGAATGTTCTCCAGTGAATCACTTTCAGTGTAAAAGTAGGCATTGAGCACCCTATTAAAATATTTCCCCAAAGTCTCACAAAAGTGTCCCCTTTCACATTACATTACTGCTTTTTTTAAGCCATGTTCCGTTTGTTTTGTTGAAAACAGATTTGTTTTCTCCTAGTAACTGTGACATTATCATGGAATTCAAGCAGTATGCCTACATGGCAGTGTCAGTGCTAGAAGACAGAAAAACAACTTCAAATATAATTTGAGTGCTATTGTTTTATTCACTCAGGTCTGCAAAGAGACCCACAACAACTGAGCACACCATATGAATATTGGATAAAGGAAATACTGCATGTGGTAGAGAACATGCCTTTTCTTTATAAAGCATTCACTGGCAAAGAATTCTTCGCCACTGTGTGGTTTGACTCAGTCACAAGTTCTGCCAGTGGTATTCATCCACATCCAGAAAGAGGCAAGATAGACAAGTTAAAAAATTTGTTTGCAAAAAAGGAGAATGCATTGTTATATCATTGTTCTGAAAGGAAAATGATTTTTTTTAAATGATCAAGTCTATCTTATGGTCCACACGGATATGAACACAAATATGTTAACAATGGCTGTGTATGTTGTAGAAGTATATTTGCAGTCTTGAATTACTATCTTGCCTATTTCTTTTTCTTTTTTATGCAATATGTAAAAAAAATAACAAAAGAAAAAGAAAACCAAGAACATACAAAAAGAAAACAGAGAACATAATATATCAAAGAGCAAAAAGAAAAAAAATACACACAAGGTAACTCAGTTATGTTTGCTGAGTTTATTTCTCAAAAAGTGAACTATGGTAGATTTCTTGTTACAGTGGTATTTGCTTTATCTTTCGGAATCTCCATCTCATATTTAAATCTTTGTTTTTTTTAACATGCTATCATAATTTACCCACCAAAATGCCACCCTTTTTACAGAAGACAGAGGTTTTTGTTTTTTAAAAATATATATAATCATTAGGGCATGACAGCAATTTTTTTTGCATTTTTTTGTTTTTGTATTTTAAGGGGAACAGTTATCTCTTTTGCTTTTTGCATATCAGTCATTTCATTTTACACGAAAAAGAAAGCTTATTTCAAGTCACCTGTTTCATATTTTCTGGCAGCCCCAAAGCCCTAAATAACCCTTAAAAGCTGCCCCAAAAAGCAGAAGTGAGAAAACTCTCACTTTCTCTCACCCAACTGTCCTCCGCACACCAATCAAGGCAGCCTCTGCTCTCAAAAAAACATTCTCCCCTCTTGTTATTATGATCCCACATATGCTTGGTTCAGATCCTTATACAGGTTTTCTGTACACTTCAAGACCTTTCACAAGTTTGTTATCCTTTAAAATGTTCTATGTTCTTCCTTGCCCAGTAATATGCTTTATCCCGATGCATCTCTAATCATTATCTTCTCTTGCTCTTTCCACACTTTTTCTCCCTTGTTTGCTTAGAACTGCCTCCCAGAACACCTATGTGATGCCCTTCCTCTTGTTTCCTTCAGATTATTGCTCAAAACCAATCTTTTGCATTTTGGCATTAATCTATATAGCTGATGTTTTTGCAAGCCTAAACCTCACCTCAGTGTGTGAAGGGAAATTGGGTTGCAGTTGCTAGGAATGACACCTGACTCGCATGTGGGATGGAGCACAAGAGTATGATTCATGTGCAGTGGTGGGCACAGGGCAAGGGGAGCGGATATGCAGGTGTTGGAGCAGTGATGGAGAAGTCATGAAACTATTAAGAGTTGTAATGTATTGCACAAAGAGTGGTGGGCTAGTAACATTGTGCAATCTTAATTTTGTTAAAACGTAATTAATGTTGAATTTTGTGATATATTTAGCAGAAACAGACTAAATGCACTGCTTGTGATATATTTAAAGTGTGCTTTGTAGAACTTCTATATTTGCAAAATATAGATTTTTCAGAGCCACCCATGCATTTGTACTTTGAAGTAAGTCCCATCAAGTTCAGTGGGATTTACTCTGAGGTAAGTGTGTTAAAGATGGATGCCCTAGGCACACTCTGTGTTCCTGTGTGGGTGTCCAAGATTATTTTTAGATGAACCTGCCACCACCATTCAGGTCGTATTACAAAATATTTTGAAACTAATTTTCAGTTTCATGAAGAATCTGTAGTGTGGCATAGCAGTTACAGTCTGACAAAAAGAAATCTGAAGACTTGTAGAATATATGAAACTATTCACAAAGGTGCTTTTTAGCATCCTAACCTTGAAGTGAATTATCTTCTTCCTTTTTAACTTACATTCTGTATTTTTTTGGTAAAATAAGATGGTCTCTTAACCATATGCATCAACATTCTTTGGCTGTTCTTCCTCTTTCTTTCTGAAGGAAAAAGAATGGCTCAATTAATACGTAATACTAATCTCAATTTAACTTCTGGTTTGCATGCTATCTTTCTTCTCTGGTGTGGCTATAAGGAGGGGATTACAAGTAGTTCCTTTCTGTTTTTTAAAAACTAGTTTATTAATTGCATGTGAAACAGACGAGCTCTGGTTCGCTTAAACTATAGTGTGTTGGCAAGAGCAGTGGTTTCTGTTCTTGACTTGTCTGAAAAAAAATGATAGTGTTAATTAACTGGACTTTCCAGTTCAAGTGTCATGGAGGACTCTGGGAAATTTGAATCCAAGTGCTTTCCTTACGGCTGTACCAAAGAAGGATGAGTGCATGAATATAATGCTCTCCGGTGCTCATTCACTACATCACAGTTTAGCATTGCATCAGAAATGGCACATGGTTCCAGTGATATTAGAAATTGGTTATCTTTTTGGCTGGATTTGTGGTTAGTTGTTGTTGTATCCAGACCATGGCTTAGAGTACGCGTCATTGTTAACTGATTGGAAGCTTTCTGCTTTGATTTATGAGGGTAAAAATGAGGACATTTAAGTGTATGGCTAGTAGCTGCAACTGCATGCAATGCTGAATCAGGGCTTTGTGTTGCATCCGAATCTAACCACTCCTCTGTCTGTGCCTTTATTCTCTGAAGGAGAAAGAGCAACCATGTTGATCTCCATGCTGCAAAAATCCATTGCAGTACTGCTGATAATTGCACCTGATTGATCTCCAAGTTACACTGAGGGAAGTCAAGGGGCTGCATGGAGTTTTGATTTATAAGTCTGTAATAGAATTATTGCAATTGAAAGTAATATTGAACATCAGACACTTCTATTTTATCTGTAGGTGATTCCAGCAATGGGAAAAATTTATTTCAGAGTACTCTTTCTTCCAGTAGAAGAAGGCAGTTTTGAAAGTTCATTATTTATAAATACCTCATCTCATGGAGTATTTTCATATCAGGTAATCTATTATTCACAAGCTTAAGATTTGGAAAATACTTGTTTTCAAATTGTGTTACAGATGGCAAAATAGAGGAAGTGCTGATAGTGGTTTTTGGTTATGAATCACTAAGACTTTCAAAGTGAGAGTACATCATGCTGTCCATGAGACTGAGGTTTAGAGATGTCTTTGCTTCTGGCCTCTGCTGGTCTCTACTCTTAATCTTTTAATAGTTCAAAATGTCTGATTGTTTCCAAAGGAAATACAGTACTACTTGACCATAATGTGTGCCTGCAAGGGGGCTCAGAGTGGAGTCAACAGAAGAAGTCTTTGTGTGTACAGGTCACTAGGTTGACATTCTGTGGTGCACCCAGAATTTGGAGGATTAGTCTTAAAAGGGAACAGTTACTCTTACTGAGTTTTTTAAAGTCATTCACTACATTTCTCATTTTGTTTTGTTCCCTTTTGATGATAAAATAATAAGAAATGGATTAATGTGTGTGTGAAATCCCTTTAAAATATTTCCCAAAGCTTTTTTTAATTCAGAAAACTAAGAAGTAATTGTGTTAAATATTACTTATTATGCAAAGAAAAAGTGACAGCATTACCAGTTGGCAACATTATTGTTCCCATCCCTTATAACATGCCTTTCACCAGTCTGGGGAGCCAGGCCATAGCTTCATGGAATGTTTTACAGATTTTCAGTGGCATGGATCACTTTGGGGTATAAAGTGTAATCTAAAGAGCAGTTATACTTATTTCCAGTGAGCTTACAGTACAGAATTCCTCTGTAGAATGGATTATGCAACAGTCAAGTTATATTACCCACAAACGCACATAATCCTTTAGTACTAGAAAATTTGTATGTGAACATTTTAGAAGTGAATAGATATTTGATATGGCCTTCTGTTTGCCTCTCATGAAAGTATCATTGGTGCCTTCTGCCCAGCTGCAGTTTTAGGAGCCAAACAAATTGTAGTGTAGTTTGCTTGCTGAATAAGTGCTATTTGTCATGCAAACAAAATAATAGCATTTCTGGTTGTTATGTTACTTTGTGAAGAGCCATTGTTGCCACCTTGTAACAAGGTGCCCTTTTACAATATGTGCTCCTCCATGAGAGAAGGATGTTTGCCTGTTGGCTTTAAGTTAAAATCTTACAGGCGAGTAGACATGAGTGATATTTTTCTACTGTTTCTTTCCCAACATAAGAGTTTAGGGGAGAAGATTGTTGTTATTGTCAAGTGGGACAGGATTGGTTACACCTTTTGGAAAGGGTAGGAGTTGTCTCCAGTTGTGAGCTAGCAAATGGATTTATGGAATTTTGATAATTTGGTTCACTGACAGACTGTTTTGTCTTTGCTCCTTTTCCCTTCAGAGTACATTGGCTTTTACATACATAGCCCTGAGGGTTTCACCTCAGCAGGGATGTATAGGAGGTGGATGGAATCTCTCCTCTTTCTCAGGGACCCTACCTAGAAAGCTGTGTCCCATTATGCCCTATGGCTATCAAAAGAGAAGAAATAATTGTTTCTCTTTCATGCCACTTTGCTCAAGATGTATCTTGAGACTTCAAAACCAAATGTTGTTTTGAAAATCCATTGCAACATTTTGATGGTTTGTTGCTTAATGTGTAAAAGGCCTAGGTGTGGATCCTGTGAAGACACTGCTGGGTGGAACGTCCCACCAATGGGAGTAACAGGGAATCTGTGCTGCTTGTGTGAGCATTGCCATTGTGTACCTTGTGCTTCCCATGTAGAAAGGCCCAGTCCATGCATGTGGTTCTGGATGTTTCCTGGTGCAAATGGTATAAGCATCAAGATGTTTGTGCTGTGGCTTATTGCATGAGCTATTTGACTGAACAGGACCCTGGCCTTTATGTCTATTTATTCTGACATGTTTCTCAGATAATGATCTAGGTAAAACGATGTTTTTCAGGAATTAGATGTGTAATATTTCTGTTAAGTTATATCAACTTATGATCAATGATAGTATGTTTTAATGATTATTCTGAATAAGCTGAATTAAAATATTAACCAGTTTTTTTGCAGCAACAGGAACTGTTAATTTTTGGGACAGCAACTTCCAGAATGTCCACTAGCCGTACATATTTAACATGGATATTCTGGGACCAAGGTTCCCTCTAAGCTGGGTGCGCGTGCCTCTACCTCCCTCTGCCTAGCTATCTTCCTCCTTCTTGCAGCGATCGCATTAGGTTCTGGTTGTGACAGAACCCTGTGGGGGGAGAGGGGCAGAGTCACATGTGAGAGGTGGTGTCCTGCCCAGCAGTGGTGAAATTTAGAGGGCACTTTGCCTGGGGCTCTTTTTGTTTTCAATCTTTGGTTTGTTACACAAGCTCTAGTGTCTTTTGGGGAAAAATCCATTTTACAAGAAAAAAATCCATTAAATATCTGCTCACTTAGAGAAAATATGCAAAGCCTTGCTTTGAATTAGCTTTGTCTTGCCATCTCCTAGCCCAGTTATCCCTAGTTGGTTGGGATCTGCTTAGTCAAGCCAAATCTCCAAAGGGGTTTCTTTTGCGTTACTCAAGCAGCAGCACATAGGCACAAAAGGCTGTAAACCTTTATGGGATGCTTGCATGATTAAAATATTTGTATATGAACACCATTCTGGTAACAAAGAAATTTAATATGTTCTGTTTCCCTTTATTTATTTTTTTTAAGTTTTTATTTTGCTGTTATATGGCATTCTATTTTTGCTGGAATTATTGAGGAACAGTCAATGTAAAGTTCTGTTTTGCAACAGGTCTTTGGAAAAGGAATTTCAGACTCTGTTTCAGAAGACTTTATAAAACAGTTGGCAAATACATATTTATTGCTTCCACATATCAACAGTATCCAGATCTCACAAACACTGGTATAGTATATACTTACGTTTACATGTTTGTTGTTCTTGAAAAAGAACTATATCTTTGTTTCCTGTATAATGAAAAAATGATTGCAACCAATTTTCAGTGTGGTTATTGGTACTCGGGGGAATGGAAGGTGTGAGAATAGTGTCATTTACAGACTATGAAGACATTGCATTTGCAGTATTTTTATGTGTTACCCAGGAAAAAACATCATGGTGCTTGTGTGAACACAAGATTTGGCTGATTTTCATTGAATTGCTACCCCCTCCCCGTGCTCCTCATTACACTAAAATTAATAGACTTTGATAAAGTTTTGTTTCCTGTTTCTAGATATTGGTTATATGTAGAATTGTAGGTAATAAATGGTACAGCAAGAAGCAGATAATACGGCTATACACCCACATAATATTTTTGGACAGCTACAACACAATTTGCTGGGGAAAGCTGAAGATAACAGGAAAAGAGGGGAAGCAGATACAAAATGAATCGACTCACTAAAGGGAGCCATAACCTTGAGTTTCTAAAACGTGAGCAGCTTTTGGCAGTCACGAAATCATAGGATTGCCTCCAGTTGATAATGAACTAATGGAACATAGCAAAGAAAAGCAACACAATGACAGTTCTAATATAGTGGTCCAGTTAGGCTTGGATAGATTCATAATCCCCAAGATACAGAGTGACTAGGCTGTATGTAGATTTGGAGTGTCCAATTCTAGGGAGCCCATTGAATGCTAGACTCCTTTGAATTACTAAGATACAACATTTTCCCTACGTCAGCTTCCACATCCTGGAGCTCTTTAGATGAGGGGTGCCCAACCTTTGGCCCCAAGGCATTTTGGATGTCAGCTGCCAGAATCCCCAACCAGTATGATGAGTGATCAAGGATTCTGAAATCCAAAACATACGGAAGACTAAAGCATTGAGAATCACTGCTCTATGTAACTTACAACCATCTCTCAGTTAGCAGGGCACCGGATTGTAGAAGGACAATCAACATAATGTCAGTTTAAGTTGCTGTATTGTAAAGCGCAAGTGTTCTCAATAATTCCTTATTAGTACTGCCATAACAAGTTGCTTTTTGATTGTGATTCAGTGTTGTGCCCCCTCGTTTCAATTCTTGTCTACCTCAACCATCTATATTAAAAAATGAGAGATGATTATTAAAATTTATCACATGATCAGAGCAAGTATAACTTTTGACACAAAGATCTGCCTTGTCATACCTAGTTCAGCCCTGAAATTTCGAGCCATCTTGAAGGTTTTTTTTAACAGTACTTGGGACGTTACTTTTAAAAACTTAATTGTTCTATTTGCCAGTAAGCAATGTTTGAAAATTAACTTGTTTCTGTTATATGTTACAGTGTTGAACATGTAACTAGATATATTATTTGCTGCCCTTTTCTGCAGTTTTCTGTGACTTTACCGTGAAAAACAAAACAAAAATAATGACATAAGAGTGTTAAGAGATTGGCATAACCAAGTCAAAGTGCCTCAAAAAATGTGTTCAAATGATCTTCAAAATAATCCTAACCCTAATCCTTACCTAATCCTAACCCTAAACTAACAATGTCTGGAGGGCCACAGATTGATCAAGGTGGTAGTTCAGCTGCTGGTCAGCAGAGCTGTTGGGTATCACGCCAGTGCTTGTCTGAGCTGTATTTCATTGCATCTGTTCTATACTCAGTGTAGTTCACGAACGTTTTTATAAACACAGAAGAAACTATGGTATTGTGGTTGTTTATCTTAACATTTATCTTTACATTTATTTTAAATGCTCTAAAGTTTTTGCAAACTCGATCACTGGCTCTGCATGATGTGGCAGAAGCAAGGGGAACAGGTTTGCGAAATTAAATGTGGTACAAGAAGCATATTTGTCTTAGAAATAATACTTAGGCTATTTATTCTGTACCACAACATAAAAATGTTGAACTTTACGATATGACTTTCATGGTTACTCTATTTGCAGTTCTTCTTAGTTTGATTTGTTCAGTAAAGTTTCATTGCAAATTTATACTTGACTTTGGCCTGCTAGTTTGCTTGTTTAAAAATTCTAAGAAAATGAAAAGGAAAGGAAGAAGGGTTACAAAACAGAAAATGCTGTTGATTATGCAGATCTTCAGGAGGTTGTTGTTTAGTCGTTTAGTTGTGTCCGACTCTTTGTGACTCCATGGACCAGAGCACGCCAAGCCCTCCTATCTTCCACTATCTCCTGGCGTTTGGTCAAATTCATGTTGTTAGCTTCGATGACACTGTTCAACCATCTCATCCTCTGTCGTCACGTTCTCCTCTTTTCTTCACACTTTCCTAACATCAGGGTCTTTTCCAGGGAGTCTTCTCTTCTCATGAGATGGCCAGACTATTGGAGCCTGAGATTCAGGATCTGTCCTTCCAGTGAGCACTCAGGGTTGATTTCCTTCAACCTGGATAGGTTTGTTCTCCATGCAGTCCAGGGGACTCTTAAGACCAGCACCACAATTCAAAAGGATGAATTCTTTGGCGGTTAGCCTTCTTTGTGGTCCAGCTCTCACTTCCATACATTACTACAGGGAAAACCATAGCTATGATTATGCGGACTTTTGTTGGCAAGGTGATGGATGTCTCTGCTTTTTAAGATGCTGTCAAGGTTTGTCATCGTTTTCCTCCGAAGAAGCAGGCGTCTTTTAATTTCGGGGCTGCTGTCTCCATCTGCAGTGATCATGGAGCCCAAGAAAGTAAAATCTGTCACTGCCTCCATATCTTCTCCTTCTATTTGCCAGGAGGTGATG